ATATCTGTACCATCCAAGGGTCAAGAAGAGTGTGTATCAGAGACAAATAAAGTGCCAGTGCCTAAGCCACCAAGTTTGAATTCAAGAAGACACTCAACAGGTAAACCACAGGTCAAGTCCCGTTATCGTGGGGATCATCATGTGAGCTCAATTCATGATCAATGTAAACATGGGACACATGGCAAGAGGTGTGACCATGAGGATGCGGTGAAACCATGGAAAGTGGTGAGGAGAAAGAGTGTTGAAGCCTCAGAGACTGTAGAAGTTGTGACTTCAGGTTTGAGAAGGAAGTCTTTGGCAAGTGTGAGTAATCAGATGTCAAGTACCAAACCAGAGAGCTCTGTGGCTACAAAGAGAACCGTGAGTACTCTGACTGGTTCAGCTTTTGTAAAGAAGGTTCCTGGCTTAGGAAATGAGAAGCCAAGTTCTGTTATGAAGAAGGAGGTTTCTGCTCCAAAGAGTCTAAAGAATAAGGAGAAGACAAAGACTCAGACTATTAGCAGTGAAGATGTAAAGGAGAAGACTGTGTGTGTTGTTGAAGCTAGTGTGAAAGGTGTTCAGAGTGAGAAGAAAACCATGAGTAGTGGTGATGCAGAGGTTGAGGCAGATCAAACCCTAGAGAAGAAGATTAGGGCTAAGAGAATGTCAGGGGTAAAGGTGAATCCAACTAACCAGCTAAGTTTCAAGAAAGGGAAGATTCTTGAACCAAAACCTGAGGACTCTTCTCCTAAATGGATCAAGTTTAGAAAGAAGGTTGTGCAGGAACTGAACCCTCAAACAGAAGGGAGGAGAAAGAAGCTGAAAGGTATTGAGACAAGAAGTGATACTTGTGAAGGAAGCAAACGTGAGAAAGTTGTTTTAAGGCATCAAAAAGTAGAAGGGAAGAAGAAAATGATGACACTGTTCAACAATGTGATTGAGGAGACAATGAATAAGTTGACAAAGGTGAGGAAGACCAAAGTGAAAGCTCTTATTGGTGCTTTTGAAACTGTAATCTCTCTTCAGGACACTAAGACGACACCTCAGAGTAAGGACACAACATTTTCGTCTAAGGTTTAGTTCTTTGGGAGAAACAACTAAAACTTCTATGATCGATATTATAAACTTAAGAGGAAGAGAGCCAGAGATAAACTGTCTTGTCTATGTTATGTTATGTATTTTGAAGTTGTAAAGCTTTCAAGTTTTTATCTCTTTTCCATAATTAAAAAAAACAAACAGTTTGTTGCTTTCTACAATCACGATACAGCCATGAGCCAACTTATATAGATCCATGTTCATTGCATGACTAAAAACAGTGAGCTCAATTCTCTTGTAGAAACAGAGAGTATACATGTGCTGTTACTTGGGCAGCACGTTTGGTGGATATTGCGTTCTGTCTTGGCATGTTTAGTAGCACCAATTGTTTTTTCATATATATATATAGTGTTAGAGATTTTGAAACTATCTAGAATATTATGCAATTCTCTGAAAGAATTATATTGTGGGTTTCATGTTTAATTTGGGTATAAGATGACACTGCTAGGTTTTACTCTCAGGTCGGTCGGTGACATCATATAATCTATTCGTACTAAGCAAAAAACAACTATGAAGCTATCATCGTCTAAGCGGTGTTTAAACAGTTTTTATCGACCAAGTTATAAGATATCCGTTTTTGTTTTTGTTATAATGGAGATGATTGGTTGGAATTTATCTCCCTACTTTAGATTTATTTATTTTTAAATCATTAGCCTTTTACCAATCATTTTGTAATTTATTTTAAAAGTTAAAATCTATATCATATATTTACCAATTATTCTTTAGATTTAGGATATAATGCTAATTCAATAGTATGTTTTCACTTATATAATACCAAACTAAATATTAGGATAATGTTTCTTACTATTAAAATTACTCATTATGTGATGATCAATGCACACTACATAAAATAGTCATCTTAATATCCTTTCAATTTATTGTTTCTTTTAGTTGGTGTTATTAAATCATGTTCTTTAATAGAGTATAAATCTAAGAACAATCTACCGTTATTCGATTGATGATTTTAATTCTATTTTAAAATCCTTCTTAAAATTCTTTTCCAAAACAAAGAGCAAATTATCTTATGATCGGTTGTGTTATATTTAGGAGTTTTGTTGGTTACTTGATACCAAACTTCAGAATATCTTTGTCTATGAAAAATCATCTCAATAGCTGTACTTTGTGTCCAGTGAAGTCCTAATGGTACACATAAGATCCATAATTTATAAGTGATTTAGCTTTTATTTATAGGCAGTGTTTTTAAAACCAGACCGGTCTGATGGTTGGACAAGTTTCGACTATGAACTGGTGACGTAACCAGGTTGAATCTAAGACCAACTGCAACGGTGATTTAAATGAATCCTTACCATTAATCCTTAGCATTATTTCAATATAATATTATTATTTTGGCTTAATTAGCTAGGGATCAATCCTTCTAGAGGGATCAGAAGGACTCAATCCTTACACACGTGTCTCTCTCTATCTCTCCTCTCACGCTCTCTCTCGATCTCTCCTCGCCCCATCATCTCCGACCATGGCTTCTGGATTGGAACATACGTTGATTGGTTCTTCTTTGTCTTCCACGGCGGCAGCGAAGGCATCTACTCCTCTTCTCCCTTCGATAACTTCACCTCCGACTCTGATTCCCTCTCCTTTATCCTGTAAAAGTTTTGATTTTTACCTCTCTGGTTCCATTTCTTGAATTAAAGGCAGTACCTTTAGTCCCAATGGCGTTAGATTTTAGAGTTAGATAAGTAATTTTAAGCTGATTAAGTACAGTTCTTAGTTGTTTCTCTGTGAAAGTTTCTTACTTTAAAACTCTGTTTGTGTGTTCTCTATGAATCATATACAGAGTTAAACATTGCTTTAATGTGTCAAAGATTTGAACTTTCCTTGTGTTTGAGTAACATCTTAGTTGTTTCTCTGTTTAAGTTTCTTACTTTGAAGCTCAATATGTATACTCTTTGAATAATGTATATTGAGTCCATGTCTCAAAGAGTTGAACTTTCATTATGTTTGAGTAATTGAAAGTTTCTTACTTTAAATGCATTTGACAGTTTTGAGAAGATCACATTCCGGAGACCTGAGGAAGTATCCAATACATCATCGTTACCTATCCACGCGGTGGTTTTTGAGGTAGAAGACATGGAGAACATTGGAGGATCAGCTTACGGTGGGCAGAGAGCTGTCTGTTGCACATCTGATCTTGTCAAACTCGGTGTTTGCTCACATGGAGAGATCATTCACCACCCTTCTGCTAAAGACTCAGCTTGGCCTCAAATCTTTGGTGTTTCGTTTGTTGAGAATGAGTTGTCTGCTACGTTGCTGACAATATCGATTCAGATCACTAGGACTGAAATGTATCCTCTAGTTCATTCATTGAGGACGGTGGCATCGTTTCGGCGTTTGATGACATTCAGAAATGTAATAATTAGCATGAATGGGCTGACCACTTGATCACTGATGAAGATCCTTTGTTATAACTAATTGGAATGATCAACATCATCCAACCAGGCTGCTAGAAACCAAGGTACTTTCCCTTTTTCTAAGGATTCCTTAATGGAGTCCACCATTGGACTCAATTTTATGCTTAGAATCCTTAACTCTTTTAATTAAAAAAAAAAAAGTTAAATAATGGCTAAGGACTCCTTAATGGAGTCCACCATTGTGGATGCTCTAATAATGTTATTTTAATTGAGATATATTATATATAATGTTATTGCAATATTTTGATAGAATTACAAAAAGAATCTACAGAAATTACTTTTGTCACCCTGAAAGGAAGAAACAAGTGAGATTACCATTGAACGATTTGACAAAGTCCTAATTTCGATCCAAATGTGCCAAAACCACAGGCTCTAAATTCGCAATCAAATACGGAATTTTCTTTGTAAGAATAATTGCGTATATATCAAACAAATTACTAAAAACAAATGTAAAGGAGAAACTGATCAAGCTCGTTTACAAAACCATCAACATTCTACAAAAAGCAAAGAGAATATGTACAGATCTGCGAGCTGGAACCGTGCCACGGAAGACTACTCGTCCGCACCGCCCAAAGGGTTGTGGATGGGCTCCATGATCGGTCCCCTCGATGAAGACGAGCCACCTTCCTACAATAATCCACCAGCAGATGAGATGGTTAAGAAGGAGAAGTCACCTGCCAAGTTCGCAGAAAAGGCTATTCACATCATTCCTTTTGTTCTTCTTGCATGTGCTCTCGTCCTTTGGCTCTTCTCAAATCCAGGTATACATATAATATACACACAAAAAGGTTAGTGAAGCAAAAACTCTACGTATAGCAACAGAATGATTCAGTTTGAGCTGAACTTGTGGTCCTAGAATTTTTATTGTCTTTTAAAAAAACACTATACAATCATGACCTGCCTTGAGATTCATATTGGCTTGAATTAATTTATTAAACATATAGTTTTCTTAATCATTTGGGGACCGAGTGATACATACATATTAAGTACTAACTACTTTGGAGACCAATGTTCACTGGCGGAGCCAGCCCAAGCTTTCAAGAGGGTCAAAATCATAACTTATATATATTGCATGGGTCATTACACCAAAGTTTTGTAACATTTTCCTATTTTTTAGCAAAAATACATGTTAAATTTTTTAATTATTAAAATTCATCTGGGTCATTTGACCACCCTCCTAACTACCTGCCTCCGCCACTGCCAATGTTTATTTCGCTATGCAGAGCCGATCTGAAAAAAATATTATGAAACATTTACATAGGATCCCTTAGTTTGTGAGGCCTACACGTTTATTTTTTTTTGTTATATATAAAAGTATGAAATAGAAAATATTTCTTGTTAATATAATTCAGATAAATAAATTTATTAGTACAATCAAAATGTGAAGATATATTTATATTATTAAAACTTACAATTTTGCTTTTTTATAAAGAAAATAGATGTTTTAAACTAATTTTTTGACAAAAAATAGTTTTATAAATTAATAAAAAAATATAAAAGTTAAATAAAAATTAACATATTTTTTCTAATTTCGAATATGGCCTCTAAAATGTCGAGACCGGCTCTGTCTGTATGCAACCTCCCTCATTTGCAATTACCTAGTGTACATGAAGTATGAGTAAGTAAGATCGTTGTATGAGTAATTTATAACAGAACACAATTTTTGTAGATGTGGTGGATGTTGGGATGAGAGAGGAATCTATTGCGGCTAGGATTGAAGGACTGACGATAGAAGGAGACATCGACAATGATAGTGATGGAACTCAGACTGGTTTCTTGGGTGCAACGTTAGAGCTCAATGGTGATTCGGACAAAACAAATTATGCTGATCGGAACAGACGAGCTTCAAGGAAACTGATTAAAGGCTTCTACTAGTTAATTATAAATCAACCACCAATCCATTTTTATGCATTTTGGACCATCATTTCAATCTATAAGCTTTTTCCAAATGGATTTTTTTATAATTTTTTTTCTTTAATTTTGTTTTGGTTAATAAATGAGCAGCTTAATTTAAATCCAAGTGTATATTTCTAATCTCAAAAAAAACTTCTACATGAATCCGATTGACAAAACTTCTAAATATAAAGATATATATATATATATATATATATATATATATATATATATATATATATAAAGCTAATTAAAAAATTGCGATATCACTTCACATGAATGATGTATATGGAGGAGGATCAAAATTGTTTTTAGCGATTTTACTCCACATGAATGATGCCATGGGCAGTCAAGTCTGTTGATCCGGTAGACTGTGAAGGAGAGGGAGGAGGAGGAGGCAAACCGATATCAAGTTCCAAATCTTTCTTTGTCATATCAAAGTCTTCATTTGCATGAGTTTGAGTCACATAAATTGGTACATGCCTTGGTATAGGTATACCGGAAGGGTGAACATACCTAATCGGTTCATGGTTGGCATAGTACATTGGATGGAACATAACAGGTGAAAAGTTGTAGTAAGCTGGTACGTTTTGGTAGATTGGCATGTATCCCATTGATAGATTCTGAAACCGGTTTGATATCTCGGTTGGAGATTGAATTCGTACCGGTTCTTGAGATCCGGTTATTAGTTGTTTAGATGGATTCTTCGATGATGATGTTGATGCATCTGGAGAATTCTTCTCTTTATCCTTCTATTCAAATTAACCAAAAGTTAAAACTCTAAAAATCAATAAACTTGTAGTAATGGGTTACTTGAGAAGCAAGGCAAGAACCTGGTCTTCTAGAGAGATGTCAAAGAGACTAGCACGTCTTTTTCTCTTGTCGTTACCATTTAACCTAAGAAAATATTTTTGAGCATGACTCGCGACTTGTGTCGGTGTTCTTGTCGTCACGTATAACGTTGAGATCCCTCTCCAATCTCCTTTTCCGAGCCTCTTCAAGCCGACCAAGAACATCCGATGTTCTTCTTCGGTCCATGGATTCCCTTTAAAGATTGATTTATAAATAAAAAATAAAAGGCTTTTGTCCCCAAAATATTTTGAATTAATATATATATGAATATAGGTCTTTATATTGTTTTTTATAATTATTAAAATTCGTAATGACACTTAAGCATTAGGTCAAGAAACGCTTACCCTTTTTCTTAACATGACCAGACCTCACTTTCTTTGAATGAATCTGACCATCAGAATGATAACCGGTATCTTCAACGGCGGAGCTTAGGTCATCATTACCGTTACTATTATCGTTAGCAAGAAGAGAATCAAGATTCCCTACACTGAGACTCTTCCTTAACGCCGTGACCTCAGGGGACTTAATAGGATGAGATGATATGTCAACGCCGAAGAGTTTCACGCTTCCTTTATTAAGACAACAAGTACGTGCGTTATGGACATTGTTGCCACAGTGTGAACACGTCTTCGCCGTAGTCACCATCTCTCTCCGATGATCTTATCTCTACGTACGATACGATCTCACGATATTTATATCTCTTTAGTTTCTTCTGCGTGTAGTTTATTATAGATAATTTATATATGTGATATTTTTTTTTTTTTTTGGTAAAATATATATGTGATATTTATTTATCCGAATATGCATGAGCTGGTTTTTGTGAATATCGTTGGTGTTTTACTTTTTTTCTCTTCTCTTCCTTAAGAGATAAAGCGTTTCCTTATTTATCTTCTTTTATTTGGAAAAAAAATCCAGCAGTATCAGCATAAGATTATAATCGACGGTGCAGATTTTTTACGTTAGGCATTAGTGTAGATTTTAGCCGTTAGATTATTTTTCAGCTAACTTTGTAGCGAGTATTAAATCCGGGTATATAGTTCTGATATTAATCGTATATTGGATTTTTTTTATTGAGTTTCCTAAGATATCCAGATTTTAATCAATATCTCAATCTTAACTAAGTTGAAATATACTCTTATCCTAATTTTAACATATAAGTAATTTGTATGTATATGTTAGGAAAATTATGGTAAAGTTCTTTTGCGTGCAGTTTTAAAAGATATTTTTGGCGGTGAAAATTAAGGCTTTGGAATGACAGCTTTTCTCCAAAATTTCAAGGTTATTTTGGTTTTGATTTTTCTTTTTTGAGGTTGAAGTATGTGGTATTAGTGATGGTTTAGTTTTGTTTGCCTATATAGCATTTATAGTTTGTATTGTGGTTACTAAAAGAGTCTTGAATATAAAGAACTCAAAACTACTACACAAGTGGTGTTAACTAAGAATTCCCTAGCAACTAAATATATGTATCCGTATAGTTGATATAAATATTAAAAAGGCAACAAATAATGTTAGCCATTTCTCTCAAGAGTATATATATTCAAGAAAAATACAAGTAATCTCTAATTGATCCTATGGAAGACGAGAAGGATCCATGACGTTTGTCAAAATTGTTAATAATAAAATGTCAATAACCCCTTTCTATAGACTATAGACATCAAAATTGCTATAATAAAATGTCAATAACCCCTGTCTATAGACTATAGACCAAAAACCTGAAACTCTGTATATTTAAAAAGTCTAAAAGAGAGTAATCATGATAACTTGATTAATACTTGTAAATGATAAGAAGACCAAGTAGAGCAATAAGACAAAATAAGGACAAGAAAAAGAAAAAAAAGCGACAAAATCTAAGAGATAAAAAGACAAAGTCCACTACAACTCCAAACAATATAAGGTAAGGTAGTATGATAGTTCTCGGACCGATCCACGAAACTCCCTCAAAACCCTTTCTTTCTACAACCTTTCTTCACTATATATCACCATATTCCTCCTCACTCTACTTCACACTCACACACATATACAAAAAATCAATAGGATTGTTATTAAGTTAATTAGGATTGAAGATGGCTACTAAACAAGAAACTTTAGCCATAAAATCCATAAGCCAACACCTTCTCACAGATTTTGTTTCCACAGAAACCATAGAAAACCAAACCCCTAAACCAAACTCTACTCTTAACCGACGTAAACCGCCTTTACCGAATCTATCCGTTTCAAGAACGGTCTCTTGCACGATAAAGAAGGCAGAGGAAGAGGAGGAGGAGGAGAAAAGACACTACCGTGGAGTGAGGAGGAGACCATGGGGAAAATACGCGGCGGAGATTAGGGATCCTAACAAAAAGGGTTCTAGGCTTTGGCTTGGGACTTACGAAACCCCCGTGGAAGCTGCAAGAGCTTATGACCAAGCGGCGTTTGAGTTGCGTGGGAGAAAAGCAATCTTGAATTTCCCTCTAGATGTGAGGGTTAGTTCCGACAGTTGTTTTGTCGGATTAGGGAAACGTAAGAGGGTTAAGAGTTTCCTAGCTGAGGAGGAGACGGTGCCGGTTAGGGTTAAAGTTGAGGAAAATGAGGCTGAGGTTGAAGCGGTTCCTTTGACGCCGTCAAGTTGGAAGGGGGTTTGGGATGTGGGAGCAGGAGATGGGATCTTCAGTGTTCCTCCGTTAACTCCGACGTCTCCCAACTCCGTTACTTGAACTTCTGAATTTGTCAACGGTTGGTGACGTTTCCACCTGCTTCACTCTCATAATTTCTTTATTTTTTATATTATACAAATGGTAGTGTACAAATATCAAATTAGTATTTTAGTACCAATCGTTTTATTCGTTAATTGTTTATAGGAAATCAAAAGTATGGATGTTAAAAATCTGGATCATATATTGTATTTGTTGATTGTATAAAATCTCTTGGTCATTCTAGTTTTTCTTCAAGTCATATCTACCCACAATGATAATTAGTCAATAGGGTATACAATTAGAGGCAAAAGTTAAACGGAGCTATTAAAAATGCTAATTAGTCAATAGAGTATACAACAAGTAGTTATCTACAGACAAACCTAAACGTAAAAGTTAAGATTTTACCCATTATTATAAAATTAATAGGATTAATTAATATTCATAAATTATGATTAATTAATTAATTAATATTTTTATTAGGTTAGGAGTGTAATTGTCAAGCAACTGAGCAAGAGGGTGGGGTTTGGTTATATATGTGGAGCCCTAGATAATTACGTAGCAAATCAAGTTGCTTCAAATCATATCCTAGCAAGTAGCTGGCAAGATAACCCTACAAGAAAAGCAACTTGACGAATTTGTCTCTCCTCTAGTCCTCTTCAGGTGAACGTTATATTATACATGATGTATCTTGATATGTTTAAGACAGTCACCTGACTCACCCATAATCAGCTAAAACCCACTACCTTTCAAAGAAATAACTTAGGATTTGAACCAAGGGTGGCGCAAGGGACTGAACTCTACAAGAATCAAACTTGTTAGGAGGTGCTTACGACAAAAGTTAAGGGGAGGCACATAATTAAAAACATAATTCGGTGCTTCTAATGCCAAATTAAGCGTCTGATTTTAGTTGTTGATTGGGCTGTTCCGTGGGCTCCACGAAACGTGGCGCCTACGATTGTTATTTTTAGTTTTTTTTTTTAAATCCCAAAAAAAAAAAAAAATTTAAGCACCCCTAATGAAGTGTTGGGATAAATGTGTTCTTAGGACATTATCGCCAGCGACATGTAAGGTTTCTTAACTTTTTCTTCTTCTTAAAATCGGACAAAAAACCAATCGCAAACCATCACGTGTCAGTGGGGCATGCGAACAGTACAAGGACCAAACCAATACGTTTCTTATTTAAGGACTTTTCTTCTCGGTTTTGGTGTTTTTATGGGTTCCGTCGCCTCCCCTCCCCTTAAGGACCTTGCAATAATCTTGCCCTTAGTGAAGTTAGTCACCATCAGAGACAAAAATCAAGTTGGCACAACTTGAATGAGTCCTGACCAAAGATCATAACTTCTCCATAAATGGTTAATGAATTAAAAATGGGGCCCACAGAGTAAACCAGAGAGACTTGTGATACACAACCCAAGGCTGCCAAAACACATGTGTTTAGGATTCTTTTCTATGCACATACAAATATCAAAACTTTCCATTAAGACATCACCTCAGGTTGAGAGACTATCTCAAACCGGAAAATACCAAAGAGGACCGAAGAGACAAGGCATTACAGAGGCATCAGAAGGAGGCAGACACTTTCCTCAACTTGCACATGCTAGTCAAATCTATTGTACATTAAGAATGATCATTTTTCCATTACATTTTTTTCTTTTTGACAAATAAAGTCATTCAATTTACGTACAAAAACTCAAACAATAATGTATAAACATCAACATTCTACTTGTGTGGTCGTGTGTGTATGTGTGCACACATAAGTGGTAACGGAAAACACAATGATGCATGTTAATTGACGAGTTTAGATTTGCAACTTGTAACCTTTTTTCTATTTAATTAGATGTGATCTCCACTCCTTAATAGCAGAAAGAAGAGACTGATTAGGAAGAAGAGTTTGGTTGGTGAAGGGCATATCCGTCATTGGAGATTTATGATTCTTCTCAAACCATTCCATAATGGCTCTCTTCTCGTATGTGTATCCATCCGAAGCAACACATGGATTATCCATCACATCCTAATATCATCAATAAACCATACTAAAATGATCAAAAACCAAACACAAATAAACCATAGTTTTGTCTTAAAATTCGATCATTATCATTACCTTAGTTATTGGACAGTAGAAATGTCCCGGAGCGTGGTGGTTATTGTCCATTAGGGTTTCAGCAAACATGTTTCTTGCGTTACAAGCAACGTTCTTTAACCGTTCAAGAACCGGTAGAATCTCTTTCCCTAGATCAGGACGGTCACGCTTCCTCATCTCCGCACACCTAAGCCCTATCATAACCATCTCTTTCGCCTCCTTAACCGGCCAATCACCAGCAGACTTATCCAAGATCTCTGAAAATTTCCCGGTTTGATCTCTCAACGCTTTCTCTAACGAATGAGCCAAACCCATCGCTGACCTAGCCGTGGCTAACTGAAGAAGTATGATTCCAAACGCGTAGATATCGGACTCAGGAGTTACCACACCGGTTCTTTGGTACTCAGGATCAATGTAGAAGAACGTTCCTACCGGACCGGTTTGGTTAAAAACCGTTGAGGCATGAGAAGGATCAAGATTAACCATCTTGGAGAGGCCTACGTCACCGATTTTGCTCACATTGTTCCGGTTTAGGAGTATGTTTGCCGGTTTAAGATCGCGGTGAACGATTGGTCTTGGCTCGTTTGTGTGGAGGAAGTAGAGAGCTGAAGCTATCTCCCATGCGATTCTGAACCGCTCAAACCAACGTAATGGCGGTTGCGGTGCGTTGGAGTTTGGTCTGCGTTTCATGAGTCTTTCCTCGAGGCTTCCGTTGTGCATGTACTCGTAGACTAAGCTGCCGTGGTCAGGACATGCGCCTAGGAGGAGAAGCAAGTGTGGGTGACGAATCTTGCTGAGAATCTCAAGCTGAAAGAAGTATCAACCAAAAAAGCAATACGTTTGAGAAAATAGCAATGTTTCTAAACATCAAAAATATATTTTCTTAAAATCTGGTTTAAGCTAAGCAAGGTTTAAAAATCATATAATAAACTGATTAAAATAATTTTATATTGATTTAAATTAAGCTAAATTAATCTAAATCAGTTACATCACCTTCACTATCAATTTGTTTAAATAAGTGATGATCTTTTATATTTCCAGTTTTGCATTTCAAAATACCTAATTTTATGTGAAAATTAACCACAAAATTTCAAAGATACATAACATAGAAGTAAAATATATAATAAATTAATAAATACATACTATTTTAGGTTCGAGTAATCTGTCTAGTCGGATTTAATTAGTGTCAAACGATTTATTGAACATTGGAATATAGTTTATCACTTTATCTTGCTTGAAGATTATTAAAAAAAAAAAGTAAAAGGAAAATGATTTCATTTACCTCTTGGTGAAACTGTTTGGTTAAGTTACTTTTGTCTGAATGAAGAACCTTAACAGCTACTGTCGTGTGATGCAAGTTACACCGATACACACTTCCATACCCGCCCATTCCAATTTTAAGTTCATCTGAAAACGAAGATGTGGCCTTAACAATCTCTTCCCACTCAAACTTCATGAACTGTTGGCGTTGAAGTGGTCCTCCTTCAAGTGCATCCTCTAACCTCTGCTTCTCCTTTCTAACCTCTTCGGCTCTTGCTTGTGCCTCAAGTCTTTCTTCAGTTTCTCTCTCAAGGCATCTTCTCACGATCTCAGCTTCTTTCTCCGCCTCCTCTTGTCTCTCCCTCTCCATCTCCACCACTTCTTCCGCGTCTTCTTCTCTAATAGTTAAGTTCTTGAGCCTCATAGCTTCCTCTAAACGACGCTGGTTTAGATCTTGAACCTTTTTAGAAGCATCCATGACTTCGTTTTGAGCAACTGCATACATTCCTTTGATGTGACGGAGTTCAATCTTTAGCTTCTCTATCTCAAAGTCTTTATTCATCTGCATGTTAACAATGCCACATTTAAAAACTATAATAATACTTAAATGAATCAACTCCACTCCTTAGACCATGATTAACCGGGGTTCTTAGGGTGAGATTCTTAGCGGAAGTTAAGAAACAGTTTCTTAACTTCCGTTAAGAATCTTACTTTCCGCTAAGAACCTTACCTTAAGAATTCCGGGTTAATCATACTCTTATACCTGACTACTAGATGAAGTAGGGTCGCTGGAGCAGCTTGAGCTTGAACCCTCCTCTGTATAAGACTTTCTCCGGCCTTGTAAATCACTTCCTCCATACCCGATTCCCGAGCTTTTTGTTCGGTAAAAGCCCTTTTGGTTATCCACATCTAGAGAGGCGGCTCTATTATGGTGTGTATCAATATTGTTATTTGTTCCAATCTTTGTGCCAACCTTCTGGTTAACGTTTGAAAGGGCTTGGATTCTTTGGAAGAGTAAAGGTGTAGATGAGAATTGATGACTTGATGTTGAACTTACTGACCCTAGAATGTTTATAAAAATAAAATAAAAATTAAAACCGGTTTTCAAGAACTTCTTGTCTCTTACAAGATTAGTTTACTACCTGAATTGGTACTTGAAGTGAAGTGGCTTTCAGTTCTATCATCTGCAATGGTTGTTTCAATGTCTATATCGGATTTACGAACATTGAGAAGTTTTCCTTTAGAGATGATGTGAACGGTGCAAAATCTTGGCGTTACATCTGATATCTTTGAAGATAAGTTGCTTCTCTTTAACTTCCTGCAAAAGAAACCAAAATATAATTTAAGGATTAAAAAGAAAAACCAGAGAGTTCAAAAGTTAAGAGAGTGTTACCATAGTTAGCAAAAAAATAAAAGAGTACCATGAGAATATAATAGAAGAGGAAGCTCCAAGGACTAGCTCACTTATTCCATGATCTTGAACCGCTTTAGAGATTGCATCTGCTACATCATCTGATTCAAGAACCATTATATCCATTTGTACCTATCACATTTTCACAAGATTAAGGTTCTTGATAACAAAAACATGAAACAAGAAATTAAATCAACTGGTCCAGTTTTTAGTACCTCTCTTTGAACAAACATATCTCTGCTTGGAAGAAGCATTTCTCTGGTCTTCCTATCAACATCTTTCTTGTAAACCGTTGAGGTTGAATCATTTCTTGCGGTTGAAACCGAATCTCCTATTTTACACACATATCAGATAAAGTGTTTTTATTGGTAAAATTTTAAAATTGATACCAATTTTTTTTTTTTTTTTAAAGTTGATCAAAAATCGAGTTCGAAATCAACATACTTTCAACTTTCATTATTATGTACCTTGTTTACTCACAACTCTCCTACAGAGGATTATGTAAACTCTCATTAATAAATTAAATAAGACGTTATAAAAAAAATTGATCAAAAATTATTATTTTTATTGAAAATTTGGTAAATTTGTGACAGAAACTACAATGATAAGTGACCGAGGCAGAGCCGGACAAGATGGGCTCGGACCAAAGAAAACGGGCTAGCCTAATATCAGGATCAAGTTTTGACTTAAAGGTTATATAACGTTTTCTAGTTCTTACTTGGCTGGACATGTAATAGTTTGAAGACGACATGTTCTTGAGAAGCGAATTGTTGAAGTGCCCATCGAACGATGCCTTTGGTTTTGCTATTGTTCCCTTTGACCGCTACCGCTACGATTAAAGCTCCATCTCCCATTTCTTCAACTTCAACGGATAAGATCTGATATTTCAAGAAACTACAGGACCAATTAAGGGTTAGAGATGAGTTTGACTTACTTCAAGCTTTTTGTTTCCTTAATCTCGTTGTTGAAATGAATTAACAGAATAGAGAGACAAAGAGAGGTGAAGAGGGAGTCATGAACTGGTGTGTTTTTATTTGATTAATTAATGTAGTTACAAAGACATTTTCTCTGGACAAAACAAACAAGTTGGAATCCTTAATGGATAAATAGTTTTGAAAAAGAGTTTAATTAAAAAATAACAAAAAGAAATGGAATACCTGATGGTGCACAAAAAAAAAAGAGATGGAAGACTTGATTAACTAATTCAACGGCTGAGATCAAAAAGGGTTTAAGGTTTTTTATAATTGTAATTGTAAGAACATACCAGAAAGGATAAACTCAGAAAGATTTGAATATGCCTAATGATCTTTTGACTTTAAGGCTCGAAGCTTTTCCTAGAAACTCAACAAATGGAGAGAGAGAGAAGAAGAAGAAGATGAAAAAATTAAATTTGAGGCATTGATTGGTAACCATGCGGAATGGCAGAATGACTTATGAAACGCGATTCCGCAAGAATTTTGCCAATCAACGAAATGTTGCGGAATGAAAAAAAAACGCAAAAACGCAAACTTGCGG